GAGGACAGTCGTTTGTGAATCAAATATGTTGACAGTTATTGTCCATAAAAGATAATGTAGATCACCATGAACATGTATTGTTCTCGTGTGCATTATAAAATAATGTAAGGTGTTACTCATGTAAAATCAAAACGTCCTTCATTGTCGTTCAGTAGTTTGCATCCTATTTTTACAGAATATGAGATAATTCATGAAAGTACCCTTCGACGGAAATTTCAATCACATTAATACCATCAGTAGCTGAATAAAGGTATGAAATCAGGGTCAGATTAATTCAAGGCAATCGATACTTAAGTACAACACGATTGATTATTTAATAATTGCTTTAAGGACTAACAATCTTAGTAGCTCAATTCTCATATTTATTAAAAAATCATATTTCGTTAGTGGTGCATATACCAGAACAAATAACGGTAAGCGAACCCAATGAAAAGTATTTCGACGTAATACGAGAAGTATCTTACAAATTGATCACGTCCAGAAGTAAGAGTATACTAACACACTAAAAACCTTTTAGTAGTTAAGTAAGCGCTTCACCATGTCAACGTTACGCTAATCATGTAGAATTCTAGGATTGAGAATTTATTCCTTTTCTGTATGTAATTAAGAGGTCAAACTAAGAATTGCTTTTGAAGTCCATTGAAGAAGAGAAATAGTAAATCAATTTAAAAGTATGCCGTCGTAACTGTCAGATTTGAAAGCAGTTCAATAGGAATTACAGTTATGGTTATTCATGTAGATAGACAGCTATTATAACCTAAACTATTGATCATTGTGAAAATTGGGATTTAAAAGTGACCATCTCTATGGCACATGTAACTGTGAGATCACTTATTCATTTGACTTTAAATCAGTATATACGAATGCCAGTTATCTGTTGGCTATTTTCTAAAATAAATTGGTCATTCTAGCACGCACTTTTATTCTCTTACTTACTTACTTACGCCTGTTACTCCCAATGGAGCATAGGCCGCTGACCAGCATTCTCCAACCCACTCTGTCCTGGGCCTTCTTTTCTAGTTCCATCCAATTCTTGTTCATTTTTCTCATGTCTATTTCCATTTCTCGGCGTAATGTGTTCTTTGGTCTTCCTCTTTTCCTTTGGCCTTCAGGATTCCATGTGAGGGCTTGTCTTGTGACGCAGTTCGGTGCTTTCCTCAATGTGTGTCCTATCCACTTCCAGCGCTTCTTCCTGATTTCTTCCTCCGCTGGGATCTGGTTTGTTCTCTCCCACAGTACGTTGTTGCTAATAGTGTCCGGCCAACGGATCTGAAGTATTTTGCGTAGACAACTGTTAATAAACACCTGTATTTTCTGGATGATGGCTTTCGTAGTTCTCCAGGTTTCTGCCCCATACAGTAGAACTGTCTTGACATTTGTATTGAAAATCCTGACCTTGGTGTTGGTTGACAGTTGCTTTGAGTTCCAGATGTTCCTCAGTTGTAAATATGCTGCTCTTGCTTTGCCGATCCGCGCCTTCACATCTGCATCAGATCCACCCTGTTCATCAATGATGCTGCCCAAATATGTAAAGGTTTTTACATCTTCCAAATCTTCTCCGTCAATTGTGATTGGATTGGTGCATTCTGTGTTGTATCGGAGAATCCTGCTTTTCCCTTTGTGTATATTGAGACCTACTGCTGCTGAGGCTGCTGCCACACTGGTCGTCTTCTCCTGCATCTGTTGTTGCGTTTGGGATAGAAGGGCCAGATCATCTGCGAAGTCCAGATCGTCCAACTGCATCCTAGATGTCCATTGTATCCCGTGCTTCCCTTCAGACGTTGACGTCTTCATGATCCAGTCGATCACCAGGAGAAAGAGAAAGGGTGAGAGTAAGCAACCTTGCCTGACACCGGTCTTTACTTCGAACGACTTTGTCAACTGTCCTCCATGCACAATTTTGCAGTTTAATCCATCATAGGAATTTTGTATGATATTGACTATCTTCTGAGGCACGCCGTAGTGTCGAAGAAGTTTCCATAGTGTTGTTCTGTCCACGCTATCAAATGCCTTTTCGTAGTCAATGAAGTTGATGTAGAGTGATGAATTCCATTCAATTGATTGTTCCACAATGATCCGTAGAGTTGCGATTTGGTCTGTACACGATCTATCCTTACGGAATCCTGCCTGTTGGTCACGAAGTTGGGCGTCTACGCAGTCCTTCATCCTGTTTAACAATACCCTGTTGAAGACTTTTCCCGGTATTGAGAGAAGAGTGATGCCCCTGTAGTTATCACAGTTGCTGAGATCGCCTTTCTTCGGTATTTTGATCAGAAGTCCTTCTTTCCAGTCTTTTGGTACTTGTTCCTCATCCCAAATCTTATTGAAGAGAATGTGGAGTATCCTTGCAGTTGCCGCTACGTCTGCTTTTAGTGCCTCTGCTGGAATGTTGTCCGGTCCTGCTGCTTTGCCACTCTTGATTTGTCTGATGGCCATGCTGATTTCTTCAATTGTTGGTGGGCCAACATTGATTGGGAGGTCCGTGGGTGCTGCTTCGATGTTGGGTGGGTTCAGTGGAGCTGGTCGATTCAAGAGTTCTTTGAAGTGTTCTACCCACCTGTTTTGTTGCTCTTCAATGTTGGTGATTACCTCGCCTTCCTTGCTTTTCACTGGTCGTTCTGGTTTGCGGCGATTTCCAGAGAGTTTCTTTGTCGTGTCATACAGTTGTCTCATGTTTCCTTCTCTTGCAGCCTTTTCCGCCGTCGTTGCTAAATCTTCCACATATTTACGTTTGTCGGTTCTGATGCTCCTCTTCACTTGTTTGTTTACTTCTGTGTATTCAGCTTGTGCCTTGGCTTTTTCTGCTCTTGTTCGACTGGTATTGATTGCTGCCTTCTTGTTCCTCCTTTCTTGAATCTTATCCAGTGTATCAACAGTGATCCATTCCTTGTGATGGTGCTTCTTGTGACCCAGGACCTCATGACATGTTGAAGTGATTGCCTCTTTGATCCCCTTCCAGTTGCTCTCCACAGTAGTTCCTTCTCCATTGAGTAGATCATGAAAGGCCTGGAACTTGTTGCTGAGGACTATCTTGAATTTGTTGAGTTTGTTAGTATCCTGAAGAAAGGCCGTATTGAACTTTTGTGATATTGTCCGCCCCGTTGTCCAGTGCTTCTTGAGTTTCAATTTCATCTTGGCGACCAGCAAGTGATGATCTGATGCTATATCAGCTCCTCTCTTGGTTCTCACGTCCTCTATAGTCCTCCTGAACGTTTTGTTGATGCAAATATGGTCGATTTGGTTTTGTGTATAGTGATCCGGTGAAGTCCATGTGGTTTTGTGTATGCGTTTATGTGGGAATATGGTGCCGCCTATGACCAGTTTATTGAAGGCACATAGATTTGCAAATCTCTCACCATTTTCGTTCCTTTCTCCCAGTCCGTGTCGTCCCATGATGTCTTCATATCCAGTGTTGTCCGTTCCAACCTTGGCGTTGAAATCTCCCATCAGAATGGTCAGGTCCTTTGTTGGGCACTTCTCGACGATTGACTGCAGCCTATTGTAGAATTGATCTTTAGCGTCTTCATTGTAGTCGTTGGTAGGCGCATAGCATTGGATGATGTTCATTGAAATACCCTCTTTCTTTGTTTTGAACGAGGCTTTGATGATCCTTGGTCCATGAGATTCCCATCCTATAAGCGCATTTTGCGCTTGTTTGGACAGCATCAATGCAACTCCTTGTGTATGTGGTGCATTTTCATCTTCATGGCCGGAGTATAACAGGAGCTCTCCTGTAGTTAGTCGTTGTTGTCCAACTTGTGTCCAATGTGTTTCACTGATCCCAAGTACCTCTAGGTTGTATCTTCTCATTTCTGCAGCAATTTGGAAGGCTCTCCCGGTGTCCCACATTGTACGAACATTCCATGTACCTAAATAAATGGTTGCTCTGGTTGTCAGAAGGGGCATCGGCCTCGTAACTTCCGAAGGAATTCGGCTTTCATCATGAGGCGTCATAATTCTTCTAAATGAAGACCTTCTGACTCCCAGGGCAGAGTTTAAAAGGTTTGAATAATTTTTTCTGGTTAGCGTTTTTTTAGCGAGTTAGTTTTCTACGGGATGGGGACGCTAACCCCATGCCCAACCCTCCTCCTTTATCCGGGCTTGGGACCGGCAGTAGCCCCCGGAGGGACTCCAGGCGGAGTTTTTTTATCCTCTACGATGTGTTAAAACCGAGCTAACAAATATTTTATTGTATTCGTGAGTCGACAGACGAATTCATAGGTTCGACTACGTATTTTCACCAGTTCTTCAAAGTTGTTAAATATGCACTGGACTGCAATAATCACTTAGAATATACTGAGTATAAGCGATGCATATTTTTATCCGTTGGAGTATCATGCATCATATATTATCGTCGTCGCCACCATGTTATGTGTTTTTTCTATGTATTTGAATCGTGTATCATTAAATACTAGTGGATTATTTTGTGTAAGTGTTATTCCAATTAGAACTAGTGAACTATACTGGATCAGTATCTACAAAATGATAGTGCGTTGTTAAAAATCAAACCAAATACCTTATTCTATGCATTTTTACTAACTTGGATGTTATCCAAATACCTGACTTTAGACCACAGATTAAAGTTACATTCAATCCCCTTCAAAATATTTGACCAACTATACAACTCTCATCTAGTAGGTATTTTCCATAGTATGAATCACAAAACAGGATGGTATTTACAATTGTTTGGCATACGTTTAAGTTATCGGGTTCGGTGTTGCGGGTAGGTATTCGATCACCACTGAAGTCGGCGATCTTTTTGCTAAATAGTGGGTGGTCTACAATAAATAAAATAATGCAAAACCTTCATGAACTGAAACCCAGTAATAATCACCTAGAGTTACTTTCGTTCTATACTTAAATTTGCGCTCAACTGAGTCGAGAAAATTCTACATAAAGATTAGTTCTGGTGTTTAGCCTAAAATATTTACTAGACTCGTTCATTTACAATTCGACTCGCTAACTTAAGTAATTGGTACCTGTTTTACATTTCGTTTCAGTTTTGAATCAAACGATTCGTCCAGTTCTGATTTCAAAATTGAACGAAATTTATTAAATTCTTATTTAAGACGTCTTGGTGGTTCAATTTTAACAAATAGTTTATCTTCACCCAATACAGAATCAATCTTGTCAACTAATTCTAGTTCGTTTTTATTTGAGCAATCGAGTTGTGGTCATACAACGAATTATACTACGTGTAATACATTACAAACACCGGAAAAAATGTTTTCTGATTCTTATCCTATGACACCTGAGTCAAGATTTGATGATCACGGAAGTGTTGAGTTTACAGACATTACTACTACTAATAGTAATAATAATAGTAGTAGTCATGAATTATTTAATCATGAACAACAATTAACATTAAACAATAACGATATATTGAATCATCACTGTGATGAAGATGATGATGAACAGATTTGTTCTGACTTGCAAAATTCACCTGTTTCTGGTCATTTGAAATCTTGTGCATATGAGTAAGTAACAAATGAATTACTTCTTTTGTTGTTGTACATGTTCCCATAATTTTTATCTTTGTAATGTTTTTTTTTGACAAATAAGTCTGTGAAACAATACATCCTCTGTTAATGCTGTTTAAAATCAACAAGTATTTAAGCCAATATTTTTGTTGTCCTGTTTCTTAAAGGGGAAGTTAAGGCTTGTTCATTCCATATCCTCATGTTAATTAGTATTACTTGCAAATACAACTAGAACTTTCATCATATCGGCATGTGAATTGATGTAATCTGTATAAAGGATCATCGTGTTAATGTGTATCGGTGTACTTTTGGATATTATGTAATCGATGTAAACTATGGTTGAAAAGCATTCATGATTTATTCGATAAACACCACTTAGACACTAAATTTACATTAGAAAACAAGTCAAACTACGAATTTCATTTCGAGATATGTTGGTCACCAGAACTAACACATGAAACTAGAAACTGAATGGAATCGAAAGCCAACCTACCCTGATTAAATCGTGAGCTACAAAACTGGTTATGTACGAAGCCTTCTCGAATTAATAAAGGTAAATTACGCCTGATCTGCCATACTAACAAATGTGGGAGGATTATTGATATTTTTGTCTTTCAGATTCGAGGCTGGGATGGTAAGAAATGGTTTATAACTCAGGAATAGATTCTAATAGTGTTGGATTCTATTAGCTTTGAATATGCGACCTTACCGGAAGTCTAACTGTATATACAAATGTATCCTAATATACTTATCAAACTCATTATCAATCACGAACTCATCTGGAAGAACAAACGGATGGATTACATTGTCCTACACAGAAAATATATCAGAGTCTAATCAGATTAATTGAGGTATTTTAAAATTGATTTATGTAATAAGTCAACATAATCTCTATTCTAATATTATAAAATCCGAAGAATGAACAATGAAGACAAATTGTTTATTGGAGGGAAGGGACATTCGTCATCAATTCTTTTTACCAAGAATGTATATTCTCGCTTAGCGTTTAGTCAGAAATTACGAATGACTAAATATCTGGACTTAATTATATCTATTTACTATCTTTTTTCTTGTTAGTAATCCACTGGAACAACTCCCATCACCAATGACTACAGATATACTTTTTGAATTATGGAATAGTGTTGTGGAAGATACTTCTGGGCAATCAATGCTAACTACTAATACCGTCACCACTACTGGTTCTACTAATGTTGATTCGTCTAACGCAACTATGTACAATAATAACCACCATGATATATCCATTACAAATCCAAATGATTTATCAAATTTTTACTCAGTTCAAAGTATGATTTGTTGTTCAGTGTTTGCCTATTTATTATTTTTTTCGTGTGTGTAGTCTTTTCTTTTTCGAAACTACTTCATCATATTATTGAAGTTTGAAATGCGTTAGGTCAACAAGTTGTATAGATTGTCAGGTCCTGAAACATGCCGTTTTTTACCAGTAGTTTGCCATTTTTGTCATGAAAAGGGAGGTAACACGCTATATTTATGTAAGAACAGAAGTTACAATTCAATTAATCCATCTGCTAATTGGTTAGAACTAGATATGTGGGAAGAAGTATGTTGATAGAAATCAGTCATAGAATGAAACAAATTACAATCGTTGATATTCAGTTAACTACTTAAAGCATAACTATATATACTCTCAGTAGTATCGATCATCATGAATAATAAACTGGGAAAATGCCCTATTTGTCTTATTTTTCTGAACTCTGTCTAATCCAAAAGGAAGGGTTGGTTTGTTTGATTATGTTTACAACTATGTGTTTTCACGTAAGACGATAAAATACAGAATTTCAAAACATTAGCAAACTGAAAAGAGGACGTTTTAAACAGCGTTAAAGAGCAATATAGTTTGACAGTGATATGTTAGCCAATTTTTCGGTTGTAAAACGGTCATATTTAAAAGGTCTTTTGAGGACTTATTCATGATTTCCATCTCTAAAGTTTCACCAATTTATTCCATAGATATTCAACTGTTGTTTATAGGATTAATCATGCCCTTTGGAATGCGAGTCTGCATGAGCGTTTTTCGGTGTTATGAAAGACAGTATTTAATTAATAAGGCTGTCTTGAGAAACACTTTAACAAACAAAGTTTTCGTACTTTAAGTATGGAATGTAGTTCCCATGACTTTTGAGATGGTTAAGAAAAGGAGAGATTTTTAAATTTTTCGTGATACTTCATAATAAAAATCAACTGTGTTTAAATAACTATGTCGATTGTTGATTGTATAATTTGTTCTCTTATCGTGTTACTGTTTTATTATAAATATGCCTATAACAGGTAATAATAGTACAATGAATTTTACAGATGCATCATATCATACAGTTAGAAATACAACTGATAACTATAAAAGTAGTGGGAATAACACTACTTCATTGTCTTGTTCTTTTATTTCTTCCTCTCCCGTTATTACGTCCACGACTACTACTACTACTACTACCACCACTTCTACTGCTAATACTACTCCATCTCCTATTCCCGCTTCTCCTTCTGCTGCCTTGATGAGATCAATAGCTTGTAGTACTGTTTCTTCGACTACTACTGTTCAATCGAATATCAATTATCCATCAATGGACAGAGATCAATTGCCCGTTCAGTTATCGGATAGTTTAAGAAGAATACCTATTATTAACGTAAGGTGTAATTGTTGTGTGAATTTTATAGTAATGTGTTCCCTCTTTTTTTGTAGTTTCGTTGTTGTTGAGTACATCGTTAACTAGTTGAACGTTGTAAACATTTGAGATGATAGTCTTTTTTAAACATGCTACTAAATCGTACCTAGTATCATTTTTAATCATTATAGATTTTGATTAAAATTTCCACTCTCCTTGTTTGGTTATCAACCTTGGAATGATATTTGAAAAATAATTGAGTTGAAAAAGCTCCTGGTAATGAGATCAGTGTCTTTATGTAGAGAATAAACGTGCTTAATTATTCGGAGTTTTAGATATGTATACTTTGATATGCCTCTTCTCCCTCTTCCCTGAGAATTCCAAGTTAGGAGTTGCCTTATGATAGAGTTTTCCACAAAATGTATCCTATCCTTTTACAGTATCTTTTTGTAGTTTTCTTCTCAACTGGTGGCTGGTTTGCTCTCTACCGCAGTAGATTATTTCTGATGGTCTCTGGTTGATTGATCTCGAGTATTGTGCTTAGGTAGCTGTTTATAAGTATCTGTACTTTTTCAATGATGTTGGTGGTAGTTTTTGTGGTATAGGTATAAGTAATATGTAACACCAGTCGAAAGTGGAATGCCTGTCAGCAGAAGATTGAATTGGAGAGAGCAGAAAGCGAAATAGAGGAATTGGAATGACAACCGAATTCAAAGAATGAAGTATGTACAGAACAACTCAAGGAAGATGTGGAAATAGTGTATTTAATATACGATTTTCATATTTTACGAGAGTACCATGTAATTTTGCATGTAATAAGAAGTTGGTTTGCCCCACCTGAATTCTCGTTTACTAAAGTTCTTTAAGTTTCAATAGAACTGTCCCAACATTTGTGTTGAATATTTCGACTTTGGTGTTGGGTGATAGTTCATTTGGTTTGCATATATTCTTTTCTTTTAAGAATAGGGAGAGAGTAGACAGCCTTGTCTGATACAAAAATTCACTTGAGATGCATTTGTGAGCTTTCCTTCATTAATTGCCTTGCAATTCAGTTTCTTGTACGAGTTCCGTATGATGGTGACGATTCTCTTAGGCACTCCACATTGTCGAGGGAGATCCATCACTTTTCGCTATGCATCCTGTCGAGTATTTCCCAACAGTTGAGAAAGTTGATGAATAGAGGTGAGTTTCATCCCATTGATCAACAATGATTTGGATTGTTGTGATTTGTTTGGTAAATGATCTATCCAGCTAGTCGTTCCCGAAGTTTTCATTTGGTTTAACAAAAACATTGATAGCTTTACCTGGCACTAACAGTGGTGCTATACCTCTGTTGTTCTCTTACTAAGATTTCGTGTCCTCGGTGTCTTGATGAGGTATCTCTGTTTCCAGTTTGTCGGTATTTGTTCTTCCTCGTAAATCCTTCTAAAGAGAATATGGAACATCTTTGCAGTTGCCTCCATATCTGAGTTCAGTGCCTCAACTGGTATGCTGTGTGGACCTGCTGCTTTAGCATTCTTGTCTTGTTTGATGACCTGCTGATTTCTTTCATCATCAGTTTGGTAACACTTATAGGGTGGTTTGTGTGTGCTGCTTCGATGTTCAGTGTGTATAGTGGAGCTGGTTTATTCAAGAGTTCTTTAAAGTGTTCCAATTGCCTGTTCTACTACTTTTGAATCTCAGTGATTGGTTCCCCTTCTTTGTTTTTTTCTCGGATCTTGTACAGACTGTCTACAGAGATCTATAGTTTCCGCTGGTGATTCATGGGTATCAGCACCTGGCATGTTGTATTTATTCCTCCATTATCCCCTTCTATTTGGTCCTCATTGTGCTCTCCTGTTCCAGTAGATTTTGTAAGACTTGGAAAGGGTTGCTGGCAGCCACGTTCAATTCACTGATCTTGTTAACAGTTCGAGGGAAAGGTTTTTTTATTAACTTTTGTGATGCTGTTTGTCTAACTGTACAACAGTTAGTTTGCTTTAGTTTTAGCTTAGTCACCACCAGCTATATCAACTTTTCTATTTGTTATTACGTCCTCCGTGGACCATGAACCTTCTGGACGTTTTATTAGTGCATATGGGGTTGACCTATTTTTCTTTAGTGTGGTCCGATGGAACTCATTTAGCTTCGTGCATGCGTTTGTGGGGAAGCGGTTCCACCTATAACCATGTTGTTGAAAGCACATAGATTTATCATTCTCTCATCATTCTCGTTCCTTTTTCCTAGTTCACATTATCCTATGATATCTTCATACCCCGATGTTATCCATCACGACCTTGACGTATAGATTCCCCACTGGGCTGATCAGATCTCTTCTTGGACATTTCTTTGCGATGGACACCAGCCTCTCACGAACTGATCTTCTTCATCTGCGCTGCCATCATTGGTGGCATTCATTGTAACTTCTCAAATATTTGTTTTAGAGAATATTTTGATAGTCCTGGATATATGAAATTCCCAGCCCTGAGCACTTTTCGTGCTTTTTTGGAGCGAATTGGTGCAATCTTTTGTATGTGTGAGGTACTTTCTTCATAATCAGAATAAGACAGAGCGTCTCCCGAATTTATTATTTTGTGTCCAATGTGTTTCATGTATTCCAAGCAGAGCAATATTGTATTTTCTCATTTCCATTTCAATGGTCTTCCTGGTCCAAGACATTTTGAGAACATTCCATGTATCTTTATTGATTGTTGTTCTGATTGTCAGAATAGACATGGTCCTCGTGATTTTCAAAGAATATCAGCCTTCATCATTAGGCGTTATAGCTCTTCCATATGAAGAACCTTGAACACCCAGATCAGAGTGTAGTTGGGATCATTAGTTTATTCTGGTTAGCATATTTTTGGTGAGCTTCTGTTTTACGAGATGGAGTTCTTAATGCCATAAAGAACTTTCCTCCTTGGGGTTGGCAATAATTCTAAAAGTGCTCTAGGAGGAGTTTAATTATATTACTGGCTAATAATCATCTGTTTATATTATTTTTTCATATATTATCATTTATGCAATTAGATCCCTTTATGAATTTAAATAAAGCCCGAACAAACATGCATGCAAAATAATATGAATTCATTGATGGTGGAGATTTGTAGCTCAGGTGGATGAATTCATTATATTTCGTGGTTTCTCATCAGCTGCTTATAACCAGATATATGTTAAAATTTTACATTGAGGTAAGGTATAGTGTGAATCAATTGACATGAGTGAATGAAAAGAATTAGAATGACAAAGGTTGTCAATAATAACTATATATATATATATATATATATATATATATATATATATATATATATATATATATATATATGCAAGAATAGGTCGGCGGTCATTTGGTGTTAGAATAAAAAAATATGAGGGGTGAGTGATGTAATAATTGAGTGAACTTCAGAGTCAAATAAGGTAAATTTTGTGATAATTATAGAGGTAATGAAGGGTTTACACAAGATTCCTGGAATTAAAAAAACTCTTAGGATGGGTTACGTAATAATTGAACAGAATTTGAAGAAAACATAATTTAAGAAAATTAAGTGAATGGAAGTGTATGAGTGAAGGGATGGTTTTAATGTACATAAAATAAGAATTCGGTAATGGAAGAGCGATATAACAAAATAAAACTAATGACCAAAAAATGAATTATCAGGGTAGTAATAAGTTTATTACTATCTCATTTTGGATACATAGATCGGATCGCAGTTGCTTCGGCAAACCGAAGAGAAACTGTGTTTCTTTGTCTGCTAATAATTTTGAAAGCTTGAGGAATGTCAATGCCATATGTCAAGTAGATGCCGAGCTAATTGCGCTACTGAGAACCCTTTCTCCTCTCAGTTTCAATTTCTTTGGAATATGCTCGGAAGTGCGAACATATACTCTTCTCTCAGTTCGTCCAATGTATGTTCTTTGGCATGTACATGTAAATTGGTAAATGCAGTTGGAACTGCTGAGAAAAGAGGACCTCTCAATTTTAGTTTATTTGAACGAGCAGTTCGTTTCCTATAGCATCGTCAGTTTTGTTGATGTGTAAACCACTTTCAACGCGGAATTTAGCTTGTGATTAATTATTCCAGTGATTTCATCTCCTTTGAAGCGCAAGTATAAGAAACAAGTTATTTTCAACTGTATCGTATTTAGTCCGAGGTTTGGTTTTGGCATATTTTTGAATGAACTTCGCCAGATATGGATTTGCACATATGCAATTTGTAATGAGAGAAATTCCATCTTCCAGGCATTCCTTTTAGCAAATTTTGCGTGCGCGGTCAAAAAGAGTTCGTACAATACACTTTTTGTATCTCATTGGACAGGAACTGTTGTAATTGAGATAAACACCACTCCAGGTATTTTTGCGGTGAATGTGTCTTTGTAATGTACCGTCTGAGGTTCGTCTGGTTCCAATATCTAAAAGATGGAATCTACCTTATACTTCGTGTTCCATAGTAAGATCTGTGTCCTTGTGTGCTTCGCTAAACAGATGGAGTAGGTTCATGGAATGCTTTTGATTGTTGCAGCCGAGAAATGTGTCATCAATATATCTACATTTAGGAAGCAATTTCCTACAGGTTTGATTCTGAGCTATTCCCTAGACCGTTGATTCTTGGTTTGGCCAAATTCAGAACAAGCAAGCTATTTGGCTAGATAAACTTTATCTCTTTCTAAAACATAAATTAACATCGTTAGTGTACAAACAAACAGTACGGTCTATTAATACAGGGAAAAACAGAGACAAATAACATACCGAACAGTAGCCAGAGAATAGTACAAATGAGTCAACAAAGCAAATATTATAAGCAAAGATGGATAGTGGCTGGCATAATGCTTGTAAATTAAGGCAATATCGAGGCATACGCACAGTATGCACATATGCCAATAACAGACTGATCAATTTCAGTCCTGAAACATCAATGGAAAGATTCAAGTAAAACAATATCAAGTGAATTAAAGCAAATATTGTTTTACGATGAACATCAAACTGTGATTGGTTAATAAAGAGATACAGTCGCACAAGGTCAAAGGGAGTTAATGTGGTGGTGGGCGTTTCACTTTATTATTGGTGGGTTCGTCTATCGACCACATTTTACACTGCAGTAGAGTATAGTTCCATCGTTTGCTTGCTTGAGCTTCCTGTGTTTCAGGTTTCCTATAAATATGTCGGCCAGAATTGGACTCAAATAGCTACTCCATCAATTTGGCGGTACAACACACTGTTAAATTGAGATTGTATATTTTTGGTACACAGAAACAGGAGCTTTTTGAATTCGTGGATTGTAAAGACAGAAGGTTAGGATATTCACATATTATACTTTCGTTTCTTCCAAAGGGATCTTTGTAAAGTGTAATGAGATATTAAACGAGATCATGAATTTGTCGAAAGCATTTAGACTATCAATTATTACATCACTCACCCCTCATATTTTTTTATTCTAACACCAAATGACCGCCGACCTATTCTTGCATATATATATATATATAGTTATTATTGACAACCTTTGTCATTCTAATTCTTTTCATTCACTCATGTCAATTGATTCACACTATACCTTACCTCAATGTAAAATTTTAACATATATCTGGTTATAAGCAGCTGATGAGAAACCACGAAATATAATGATTTCATATTATTTTGCATCCATGTTCTGACTTTATTTTTATTATCATTTGTTTGTTTATTTGTGTCTTGCGTACTTTCTAACTTTTATTTATTAATTCCGTTTATTTTTTTGATTATTTTTAGCATCTTTCATCGCCATCTAATTTACAATCTAATAATTTTCTGCGTTATCCAACTTTTAATTCTCAAACATTTATCCCGTCATCCAATTCATTAACTCCCACTACTGCTTCTACTATTATGTTCAGTAATCATGGAAATGAAATGAATCCTCAATTCCATCCGTTATTATGGTCTCATGCAGCAGATAGAATTTTACCTGTCAAGAAAAGTAGTTCATCAAATGTGTTCAGTACTGCTACTGATCATATTAACACTAATGATAAACGTGTCGGATTTCTACATTGTACTGATAAATCATCATCTCACTTATGTTCAATGATAAATTTCGGGTCGACTTCACAAAATCATATACGACAACCAACTACAGAATTTCTAACGGATATTTTATTGACATCGTCATCATCATCATCGTCATTCAATAATAATCCCAGCTTAAGTGTTGGTGAATTAATGGATACAACAACAACGACAACAACCAATACAGATTTTTCATCGATTTTATCATTTCCTGTTTCATTAAATTTAAACTGGTCAATAGGTACTTAATTGCACAGGTTGTAATGATGACAGTGATGAGACCTATTCTTTCTGTTATGGTTGTTGTTGTCACCTTATTAATGTCCAATCAAATTCACATTTAATTGAGTTCAAACCAATGATGTCTTTCAATGAGTTTATTTACTTACATCCATGTGATTCTGATACTCTCTATTTCTCGGTCTCTCTTTATGTATATTTGTCATTCGAGAGTACATTCGTAATATGTTTTTATTTTTATAGTTACATTATAAATAACAACTCTATATTATTTTGGCTTGAATTAGTTGTTTCACGTTATTCTTCTCTCTTCCCCTTATCCTTTGTAATTTTTCTTTTTATTATGAAAGTTGAAATATCCTTATTTATCTATAGGAATATATATCAACATTTGAATGTAAATGCTACACATTAATTTATCAATGAGTCCTTTGAATCAATTTTATTTAAACATTTTGATCTGAATAAATGCTGATTGTTATTTCTGCTTCAATAGGTATATTTATTTATTGTACATTTTAGTGCTTACATCTTGTATAAAATCAATAAAATATACCATATTGTTAACGATTCCACAAACTTGTCGCTATTATAATTTACACTATTTATCTTTTTGTTCTAAGTTTTGTACATGTCTATAATGTGAATAATAGTTATGATTAGAATTGTTATTTTCGTGCCTTATCGAATTATCAGCTTATATCCATCTATCTATTTAATCTCTGTGTATATGAAACTTTATTGTGAATGTTTAAGGTATTTCTTTTTTTCCTGTTTCTACCGCCTTTACTGTTCTCATTGTTCAAAATTTTGATACTTAAAGCATCTCCGTTGGCAGTTGTTGTTCAGACTGGTTATAAGATTGAAAGGAAGAGAAAGAGAGGGATCGGTACAAAATTCCTTGTTCATATGTTATTTAACTTGATCTTAATTATAACAATAGTGATTTTTGTTTGTAGGAAGAAAAGAACCACTTCAGCCCCACACTTGTTTGTATTTATGTATATTTAATTGTTTAGTGTTAGCATCAATATTAATAGTAATAATATTGTAATTGACTTAGACTAACCATTATTTTCCTAAATATGTCTTGTTTCCCTTTATTTTCATTTTGTTACCTATTCAAAATTGTACTTTTACGACAGCTTGTTTCTGGTTGGCGCAACTAATCAACAAGTATATGTTTGCGAAAAAGAACGCACACTAATGAATTGCATCATACACTATTTTCAATTAAAAATACACCCAACGTATGTAATACTTTCTTGTTATTTTAATAATATGATACTTTACCCTGTTTTAGTGATTTACTGCATCGCTTCAGAATTATGTACAAAATCAGTATTTTATAAACTGGTCCAGTAAAATTATTATTTGTCATTCCTACAACTTTTTCTCCTACGTGTATGTATATGTGTGTGTTTTTCACACTAAAAGTGTATAACGACTACCTCTTTTCACTTCTTTTGCATCCATTTAAATTGTTTACTTTCAGTGAATGTATGAACTGAAAACAAGCTTACATTAAATCACAATAGATGATAGGGTCATTCAAAGTAATCTGATATTTTACTTTGAATTGCTTTCAAAAAATTGTTTCTTCTTTTTCATTGTGTAATATGTTAGCTATGAGTTTCAGATAATGTCCGTTTAATTTGAACAAGTCCTGTTAAGTTATTGGAGATAATCGACAGGAAGGTCTGAGCTTGGGTTTCATGTTCGTTGGAATTCATCGTCCACGAGGCCAGCCAAACTGGTTAAAATATATTCATTCAACTGCTTGGTTACGTCTTCAACTCTAATTCTTACATAGCGGAGTTTTATAATAAACCGATTACATAATCTTAGCTTAGAATTTGCCTTTACATCTGTGTAGCTTCTAAGTAATTACTACTTTAGAGGAAGCATTGCTTAATTGATCAACCAACATTAATTTAGTATTGATTTGATTATTAACTGTAAAGCTTATACTATTCGTAAAGAGCCTTGATGAGGAACTGATTAAAAATATATTTCTTTACTCAACTTCTGTTTTAGAGGTTTATTTAGGTGAGAAAGTAACCACCAAAGTATTAAGTCTTCTCACTTTTATATAATATTCTGAATGATACTTAGCAATGGGATAGTAAATGTACATACGTAAATGCACCTATCACCATTGATTTATTCAGTTATCACTCGACATGTCAGGGTGTATGTTCACTAGAAAATAGGATTAAACTATACTAACGAGCAAATCCGATTTTAGGGTGCCTCCAAGAGTTTTGAGCGGAAATCGAAGTTCAATGAGAAGTACTCTTTATTGAGAACTAATTAAAAATTGTCTATATCTAGTTCCTGAAATACTTAAAATGATCTTTCATGCAATTACAAAGTGAATGTGACTTATTGCGCAAGAGATGCCTGCTGATGGTACTTTATGTGATACAGGAGATAGTCAAGGGGATTTGTATAACACAAAACTGTTCTTTCACTCTAACTCCTAACCTTAACCTTCATAAGTTTATAAACAGTAGGGTGGAACTATATGAAATATCTAATGAGACATAAGATAGGTCCTTTTTAATTTTCACCCAAGTTTCACTTCCATATATCTATACAAAGCGTTCTTGCATTATGGGATGGGTTTTCGAGCACCTATCAGTGCGGTAGATGCCACTGAGATCCAGTGTTTCTCCATAACCGTGTGGTTTACCGTAATAGCAGGTATCGCCGCTGTTTCCACAGCATTTCGGATGTCATTCCACGCTGCCTCAGGGTGGGCATCACTTAAATGACGGCCTAACAGATTTTCTAGTTGTTCCTGGAATATATTCTTAGATTAGCTATCATTAACAAGGACCCTAAGTGGTATCCTTACAGCGTCTTTGCTACGTTCAGTAAGACTCAGACAAATACGTACTCACACTACAACATGATCTGAATATAAGCATGTGCTACAAAATGAGCGACAGCATTCTGTCGAGCTCCTTCATCGGTGGATGATACCGATATGATCTATTTGGGTCCAACGTTGGGAAGGATTCAGAAGTGTAAGTAATAATAAATTAAGAATCTATATTTCCTATTGTTGAATTTAATCAGTCGGTTTCGTTTATGAATGGAATTCCATAATAAGCCACTGCTCATGTGGATATAAGAATTTATAGCTTCGGTTGGTGATTTTTGATCGAGTTTCGTCGGACAACCAAACTATCCAACTCGGAGAACAAAATCCCTTTAAAAAATCTCTCCTCAATTTGTTTTGCTTATCAAACACATTTTAAGGGGATCACCTTGGTTCTCAGAGTAGATGTCGACTGAGGATCAGGATTGCAGTGAGCTTTCATGCTCCCTAAGTCAATTATCGTGTATAAAACAAAAGCTTATTCAGATAATCTAACTTGGATAACGAACCTCTTTTGGTAAATGGCATTTGTATTTAACCTTACCTGTGGTAACATGTACGTAGGAAGTACATATAAGGTATTTTATAGAAGAATCTCAAACTAAACACCAAGTAACTCCACATTATCCAACAGTGTCAGAATTTATTTCTCTTCAAAAATACTTCACAAATGTTCAGTGAATTTCATGCTGATCGACACCTGAGCGTTAACATATATCTTTTTTAAAGTTAGAAATGTCATACGAAACATTCTTGACTAATACATATTCCGGAAACATTTTCCTCTGTGTTCATTCGGAAAACTAAATTATCTTTTGCTTCACAAATTACCGATGTCTGTGATATTAAAAACCAAAGTCTTAGTTTTCGCTTAATATTAATCAGATGAACAAGCGGAATTCGGTAAAAGGATTTGATACGATTTCATTATTAAATCATGTACGATAACTGGTTGTTATTCCAATGTACAGAAGATTTAGTTTATAATTGAGAATCTTAAGATTTTTTTTTCACTTACTGGCAAAACAGATGAAGATAAAACTTTGTTGCATAGTATTTATCGGTTTAGACTCTCAAATAAACCTCCTTCCTTTTAAAAACTTTCAGTTAGTCTTATTAACAACATTCATATCGTTGACATGGCTTTAAACGTATAATTTATTGAAGATAACTCACTTATTAGTCCATTTAAATGCAAATAATACTGAATGTACAACTTTATACTCCCGTCATGCCACCAAGTGATTCCATATATCGGTCATTTGCATCCAATCTATCTATATTTTAAGTTTGTTTGTAGAATATTTAGTGGCAAAGTGATTGCAGTTGTTTCATTAAGCCATAGATTTTTTCCAAAACATTACATTCCATTGAATGGATAATTTGTAAGTACTTAATATGCCATTACTACGTTTATGAGTACAAAATTATATCACACAATGATTTTTAATAACACATTTATTACTTCTGCACTATTGTAGATATAGTTGCTATTGTGTTCTGTGCTTATCACTTTTACAAATTACTTCTGTTGAATTAAGTTTAATTAAATTGATTATATTCATTTAAATCCAATTTATCGGTTGTAATAGTATAGTCAAGTACATGTTAGGGTATCTCGCCTTCAGCTACATTTTAGTTGTTTGTGTGTGTGTTTGTGATACCTACCTAACTTCTCTAATACAAGGAGATGGAACACGAGGTTCAAACCTGAAACATAAATGGTTGAAAGTTAACTGTATTCATAATTAATCAAATTGCAGCACCAAAATACTTTTATATTTATAATGCCCTAATGAATAGAAAATCGGGTTTCTGACGTTTCACAACTTTGTGTAAGGCGCATCTTCAGAGAATAAATAAACGAAATAAATGAACGTAAGTTTAATTACTAGTAAAGAACAAGTTGTATATTTGTTACAAACCAAACGAGACTGATCATATCATTCCGGTCAAGGTGACATATTTGTGTGTATCAGTCTGGATATGAAAAATGTGATAATTGTAATGAGAAAGAGTAGAGCTAATTAATATGTGTATTGATGGTGTGAGATTTGAACAAGTTAAATCTGATTTCGAAATTCCACATCATGGACTGACTTGAGTTCGACAATGACTGAAA